TCGGTCTACAATCTTATTGATCCTTCAATTACTTTCAACTCACCAAAATTTTAGATTATGTGTGAATAGAATGAAAACAAAGAGAGAAGATTAAGAGAATACAATGACCGAGGACTTAAAGAGGCAGAAGCTGTTTCAGGAGCTTACTGAATTTCTTTTTGAGCACATCTCATTATTCATGAGATGGTAGTGGTTTTATGTGCTTTTATTTGCAAATACATTTGACTTTTATAGTTTTTTGTTTGCAGGTTTTGAATTTTAATTTTGAGAAGTTTTGTTCTATTTCTCTTTCAAATTTGAATGTTTGAGTGTTTGGTCTGTGGGAAGTATTACCAAAGTAGATGCTATAAATCTTATGCATACACTCATAGCCTTGAAGTAGGGCACCAGATTTACACAATCTTCGAACAGAGAAAGTTTATTGCCTTCCTGATGGATATGAAATCATTGACTCTTCATTAGATGACATTCGACATTTTTTTAACTCGAAGTTCACTAATATTAGCTCTAATTTTTTTTTACATGTGGCAATTTTTTTTATCCCTTTATATCTTTGCTAATAGTTTATATTCCTATTTTGATTAATCTCCTCGTTTGATTTCTTTGATATTATTGTACAGGTTTATTTGGACGCAAGTTCAACATCTTGATAGAAATAGGCAATAGTCTAGGACACTAGTTCTGATATTTGTTGCTATTACTATGACATTTCATTCTTGTTGCTCATTGGTATATTCTGGACAAATTTGAATCTAAACTTAGTAATCAAGTGTCAATTTCATCATTCTCTGGTGCTAATTATAATCTTATGGCTCTGACAATTTTTTTAGGTGGGACTTAATAACATTAGAAAGATTGAATTTATGAAATTAAATCTTTAATGCGAGTTACTTCATTGAGGAACTTTTTTTTTATCCTTAAAAATTATCTACATTGCAAATCTACACTCATTCTTTGATTTGGAGAGCTCACTTGAAAGAATTGGCACTCAAGGAACTTTAAGGGACATGTTTGTTTCTGATGTAATCAAACTTTAGTAATGACTTTTGTTCATAGAATGTGTATACTTAAAATCTTTTGTATCCCCAGGCGAGCCCACATGAATTTCTATAGGCAGTTATGGACTACATACAATTTTGAAATCTTTACGTTTTTTTTTTCTTCTGAGCATATAATTAAAAAGGGATTGACATTGATTTGTGTTTAAAAGTATATGTAATGTCTACATCAATTAGGTTTATGAATGTATTATCTTTCTTTATTTTCTTAGCCAGATGTTCCATACAACACACAAGGAATACAATATAAAAATAATCCAGATCGCCATTTTTGGGTAATGGAAGCTTACGATATCCCATTAATTGGTGAGACACATCACATAATAACAGTAAATCAAAATAGTGGGTTAGTTGCAAGTTAGAAAACATGTATACTTCTTGAGGGTGTCGTAATAGTGTTGGACACAACCAGACATGTGTCCGACACAGCTAGTAGTGTCCTACATAATGAGTTCAGTCGAACACGACCAATATTTGTTTTTTTAAATGATTGTAGCTTAGTTTTTTTTTGTGTGTGTTTTTTGGTTATGTAACTTATGTAGTATAAAAGTTAATGTATATAATGATATTTGGTGAAAATTATGAATGTTTATTTTGATCTATTTTAATTTTAATCAAAAAAATAATGTTTGCTAGATCTTATTATTATATTATAAAAATGCTTTATTTTTAATATATTATAATTTTATTATTGTCTAAAAATATATTATATTATTTTAATTAGTTGTATCTTTGACATACATGAGTCTTATATTTTTGAATTTTGTCATGTCCTAGTGTCCGTATCGTATTAGATATATATTTTGTTTACAAATTAATGGTAATTTTTTTCCTTCTCACACTTTATTCTTGATTTTTTTCCCTATAAATTTTAACTGCATGACCAAATGTTGGGTTTTACTTATAACCAATTCAATGAGTGTACTAGATCCTGATCTAAATATCTTTAACTAGGTGGGACTTGACTAGATTCCCAAACCATTATCTTAAGGTAAAGTTGTTAGTGCCTCAAACTAAACTATGCATTATATATTGTCATTTCAAAAAAATTTCTTGCCTTTCTACTTGCTCAAGTAGATAATTTAACTTTCAATTTTCTGTGAACAATACTTCTATTTAGTTGCTGAAAAAATACAAGACCTGATCAAGAACTTGGAAGTTGATTTCTAGGTTCTCATCTCAATAAAATTGAACATCGATTCTTATATTCTCTATCTGATGAGGTAATTGTAATATTACCTTCTGAAAAAAAGACATGGTTGTAATATTATGTCTATTTAGGTGGAAGCTAATTTGAATTTTTATGTAGAAAGTAAGTGAATTTGGATGTTAGTGATTGTAGTACTTTTATAAAGTAAACTTTGTGGTTTGACGAGGGAATTATTTATTGAAATGAATATCAGTTATTTAAAATTAAATAGAATTTGATGAGAAAATCATATAATTATGAATGGAACAGAGCAGAAAACAAAAATGAAGATATTGTCTCGATTTATTTGTAACATAGAAAACTCGGCCAAATAGATCGAGTTTCCCAGGATGCATTCATAAGTTTTACACGTCAAGAAACTCAACCAATTAGTCAATATGAGAAATTTTACGAATGAGACATCAATTAAGATATCTAATTAGCTATTTATCTGTCTTTTAAGAGAGAGATTTTTTCCATGATTTTCCTTTTCCTTTAATTTTGTTATTATAAACTATTCCAGAGATTCTCTATATAACTTATCTTTTTTTATAATTAACTATTAATTTTTTACTAATCTTGATTAACATAAGACATTGAATTTTATTTGATTAAAAACTTGACATAGGTCAAAAGTTATTTTTGTATTCTATTATGTGTGTAATTATGAAATTATACAAAATTTTCAATATATACTACTTTAAAACGTTAAGATACATGAATAATATTTTTCTTTATTTTTATCCTCTAACACTTTAACTATGCCAATCTCCTCCTCCGCATTTAATTAGGTCATTTCAACCAACTCTATTGATGCAACCTGCTTTGGCGTCTGGTGTCCACAACGATGTCCGTTCATCTCTCTTTCATTCAATAGTAAAAGCAATTCAGATAAAAAAAACAATAGTAAAAGCAATTGGTTGAGTTCTCCTTCAGTCGTTGGTGCATAACCTCTCACAAATGTGTCTCATTTCTTCTCTCTTGTAATAATAAGCACATTATCTTTGTGGCTCTATAGATTCTAGGAATTAATGGTTCAAGCAGCAATGCCTTGCTTTCTCTCTCAGACGCACATCGTCGAACGAGCGGTGACCTGCTTCAACAGGTAATTTTTTTTTTGTTATAAGATTTGTGTTCTTTTGTTTGTTTTTTTATTGATGATTGAATACATAAACAAATTTTGAATACTTAAGCCACCTCCACAGAACGAGATTGTCAGATATCTTCTAATTTTTGGTCACAAATTAGAAGAAAAGGAAGAATGTAGTGACAGAACCATTACTACTCATGCACGATTGTAAAATTGATGGATTTATGGGTAGGACTTGTGTATGGTGTGAGTCGTGAGGAAGAAGAATCAGAGAGAGAGAGAGAGAGAGGAACAGCTATGGCGTGAGGAAGAAGAAGAACAAAGAAAGGGGTAGAATCAAACAAATGGTTCTATGGATAGGAATTGTTTATGGTGGTGAGAGAGAGAAAGAGAGATAGAGGCTGCTTGTGGCTTAAAGAAGTCTAAGGCTCCCAAAAAAAAAAAATTCAGTATCTTACTGTTGTTTATAAGTTCAACGAGTTTTTTTCATAAAATTTGAGATTATAAAGAGATCATTTATAATCTTTGAGGGTCATTTATAACTTTTGAGGATCACTTATAATTTTTGAGTGTACATGGCTTTTAAAAAATTTATGATCGATCCAAGTAACCCTCAAAAGTTGTGAATGGTCTTCCCAAAAGTTGTAACTTTGACCACAAAAGTTGTAATATAACCCCAAAGATTGTAAATTGTTTTGTTGTGAAGAAATCCAACAATTTGTATTTCAGCCCATAAAACTCGTAAACTTTGATGTTGCAATACCAAACTTTTTTTTAGGTACCGTAGTCTTCTCCCTGCGACAACTCCCTCTTTCTTTACAATTCATATTTACATTTATGGCAGAGGATATAATTAAAGTGTCTGGCATAGGAAGATTGCAACATTTTGTCCTCTAATTTGTAGCAAAACAATGCATTCTGCCTTGCCAAAAGATTACATGGGGGTATCTATTGTGTCAATTGAAATCTGTAATTTCGTAACTTGCTACATATTTTCAGAGAGCTATCGGGGTGCATAGGACTCTAAAAATTTAGAATGCAAGTCTACAGCTAGGAAGTATGTCTGAAACTAATTAATATATATACTCTGTAACTGTAATTTAAGAGGAAAATTCCATCAAATCTTTGATTCTCTATTTTATGTTAAAAATAGCCTATGATTCTCAAGGGCTTGCACTTTCTCTCCTTAGGTATCTGTCTATACCAATCCCTAAATAAATGTCAATACATCAAATTATTGTATTACGCTGCATCTAAATATGGATGACAGTTGTGTAAGCTTTTGATATTTTCATACTAAATTTCTACATTATTGCAATTGCCAAAACCGAGATGTGGTCATTGTGCGGTTAGCCAACGATAAGTTCTCTTCTCCCTTGTCTCTCATTTTTCTTTTTGTTGCTACATAAACACAAATAGAATCGCTCTTCTTTTCTTCCCCAATCACTATAGTCGACATCCGCTAAGCATCCTATTAGGTAAGCTTTTTCTCTTTGATTATGCTATTTCCTTACTTTCTTGTGAAAATTTGCCCCGAATGAAGGATACTTCTATTATAGATTGACCGTCGTCACTTCGAAATATGTCAGGATTGCTTGTTTTAATCGGAAAAAATAACATTACTTTGTTGTTGTTGTTGTTGTTGTATTTAACAATTTTATACTAAATTGTCGTTATCATCCTTGGAGTGGCCCTCTTTTTTGGTGCCTTCATTGCCGAGTCTGCAAAAGCTTGTGTCATTTCTACTGCCTCTGCCACCCTTGCCGCCTTTTCAACTTCTGCCTCAGCAACAGCTTGAGCAGCAGCTGTAGCAGCCTCTTGTGGAGTAACACTCCTCATCTTGGCTAACTCTAGATCAATCTGTGACTTGGTAAGATTATTAATATCATTCCCATCAGCTTTAGGAGAAACCCTCTATTGCGTTCCCTCCACAAGTAACAAGGAGGGGTGTCTTTTATTGTCAGATAACTCTGAAGTTGGTACAATTCTGTAGTTACATTTCATCTGCAAAAGCAATAACAAACCATAACATTCAAAGCCCAGAAGCATATAAATTTAGAAAATAAGACAGAATGACTCTCAGAAAACTTTACTCGTTCAAAATGTCTTTAAGGCAAATCAGGATACGACTATGTTGCCATGTTATGATGACTCTTGGTAATGATAAAACGTATAAAGATCTTAAGTGCCTTTGAGGCAGATCAAAATAACAAATGCAGAGTTGAGTCATCGAGGTCCCAAACCAGATAACTATGTAGAGCATGTTTTAATTGACATCCGCAGCAGATTGAAGTATGGAACTCGGGTACATATCAAGAATATGAATTGTATGCGCAATCCATACCACTAACGACCGTGGATAACATAAAATCATTTTTGATTCTTCAATATGCTCTCTAGCCATTACAGCTAAGCCAAATATAAACTCAATTCTCCACTTCTCGAACCATGGCAATGTGTTATAATTTTCAATGATACCAACTCCTGTGGGCCCTAGCTTAGCATGATTTCTATTAGTGTGGTATGTTTAGCCTTCAGTACATGTTCCTCTATTTCCTCTATATTTTTCCATAACTTTAAATCACTAATCTTTTAAGTTCATCAGTGGTTGGTTTTTTCAATGTTGCACCTTATTTTTGCAATGATTTTAGGTAATTAGAACTTCTAGATGTAATTTAGGAGGGCGAGAAAGTATTTTGATATCTTGTGTCAAGTGTTCATAAATGCTTTAGTTAAGCGATACCATTATTTGCGGGCCCTATTCACAAGTTCTAGCTTTCTCACTGAGAACTTCAAGGGGTCAGTGACATTGATCGATGGATTCTTTTCCTATCAAGAGGTTCGGTCAAAGAATTTGTACTTGAAATATGGAAGGGACATCGTTACAAGTTACCTTTTTCTTTATTCATTTGCAAAAAGTTAATACATTTAGAGTTGTTTAATTGTCTTTTAAATCCCCCCTCCAAAATTCAATGGCTTTAAGATCATGAATAGCCTTGATCTTCAGCACATTACGATGGACCAAGATTTATATAACATATGATATCTAGCTGCCCTTTGCTTCAATGACTGACATTGATGAACTTTGATGGTTTCACCCATCTTAACATTTGTGCTCCAAATCTCCTATTTTTTTATATTGGAGGTGTGTTTGAAGATGTCAGTCTTGAGAATACCTTCCATCTAGCTATTGTATCCATTGGTCTGTATGTAAATGCTGGATATGACCAAAATGAGATCCTTGGCAACACTGGCAACATGATCAAATTTTTTGCTCATATGCCTCGCATTCAAAAGCTTGAGGTGCAATGTTTTTTTTTTCTGATGGTAATAATTTTGGAGTTGTTATCACTTGGGATTTGGATGTTTCCTGGTGGTTGACGAGTCCATTGGGTTTTATACAGGAGAGAATACTGTTTTTATAGTGTTATAACTCTTATCTCAACTTTTATGTCAAAAATGTCGCACTTTAAAATTTCACTACTTGACCTATTATGGATGTTACAAAAGAAAAAGATTCCTCCATTTTACCTTACTATGTAAAGTTGTAAATCAGTGGATTGTTTCTAAGGGAAATATCTAAAATTCCAAACATACCATAATCATCTCAGTTGTTGATACCATTGTTCTGTGCATTCCGTTTGTATTCAATATTTTGGCTGCTGGTAAGGTGCCAGGAAGGCAGCCTACCTTCCTATATGCATAAATTTCAATGATGTGGAGGAGAATTTGGCAGCCCTGTGTCTTCTTAGAAGTTGTCCCCGCATACAAGAGCTTGAGATGTTGGTGAGTTTTTTCTTGTTACATTCCTTGTACTTGCATGCTAAAATGATTTTCCTTGTCTCCAACTTTTGCTTAGTCAAAAGCTTTTTGTACCTGAGATTCTCGTTTTTTTGGAGCTACATTTGAAAACTTTCTAGACTTTTATATAATACACTCTGTGGTAGGCTTGGCCTGAGGAACAGACTTCTGTGCAGGCAGTTGCTAACATTTTGGAAGAAGATTATTTTAGTTGTCCATTCAACCAGCTGCCCCTGTTAAAATAATTGGACTCTCTGGTGGTAGACAGGAACTGGATTTTATCAACTTTCTGCTTGCAAATTCACCTGTGCTTGAGCGGATGGCAATTAAGCCTTCTACACTCGATGGTGCATGGGAGTTGCTAAAAGAATTGCTCCGACTCAAGGGAGCTTCGGTACGAGAAGAAATCATTCAGCTAGACCCATAAAGATGATAAAATGGTAGATATTTCTGAGTAATACACTTTGTTCTTCTGTATTCACTTGATCTTTCCAAAACCTCTCATGTTCTTAGTACAAAAATTAGGAATAGTCTTATAGTTGGTTCCCTCTGATGATATACTAGGACGATGGAGCCGACTATGAATCTTTATCACACTATCAACACTTATAAATTGACATCAATTGCTACTTTCAAATTTAACTTGTCTACATTGTATAATGCCTTTTTTTATTTGTATTTCTTTGATGGAATTTAATACATTCTTTGGAAATCTTGAGTCTGTTCTTTCGTTTTGTTCTTAGGTATTTGCATTGGGATAAGTAATTTACCCTCTCTAGATTTTATCTTATAGGGGAGAATTCTTTAAGACCGTGTATACCATGCATAAAAAACTTGAAATACTCGTGGAATTTGTTACACTTTGGCTTCATCTATAGCGGTTGAGCCAGCGAAAGGTTCTCCAATGGTTTCACTTGTAGGGTGGAATTGTCCACAAAGCTTAGTTACATGGATAATTCAGCATTAGATTATTTAACATGATTATTTCTTTGGGATTAAAAAATTAACTGTGATGAAATATGATAAATAAGAGTCTAAGGAATAAAGTTATATATCCTATAAAAAACAAAAAAGAAATACAGTTTTATAAACCATTTGGGTTGTTACATGGGTTTGTTCTTATATATGTGGCATTTGGAGAATGGAATGGTTGGTTGATTTTGTTATGAAATGTTGGTTTGCTGGGCAGGTGAGTTTGGGATTGAAATAGTTATCAATTATTGGTTTTAGCGTTGAGTTGAGTGAAATCTATGGTTTATGAATTCAATTTACTCGGATATTGTTGGATTGATATTATTTTACTGGTGGTGTTGTTTGATCATTCATATTTAAGCGCACTCCAGATAATTTTGGAGGATTAATAAAGTACAAATCTATATGTGGTGTACTTTTCTTGGGAGAATTGAATTTTTTTATCAATAAGAATAGATTTTGTCAAGGAATTAGGATTATTTCAGTTTCTGGTTGCATCAATTGTGTGATTTTTTGTCGCAAAGGGTGGTATATTATACTTAAGGCAAGGGCATGGCCGAAAATATGCTTAGAGTGGCGAAGTTCTTGAGGATGATGCATGTTTACGACCACCTCCTCCATTGCCATCATTTCCAAGGACTCAAATAGGGATTGACATTGAATAAAATTTAGATTTATTCTTGCTGAAATGCAATTCATAGTGATAATAATTTGTGTTTTCACTAAAATGTTGCCGCCTTATTGTAATACTGGTGCATTTCTTATTCATATTAAAGCCGTCTTTTCTTTTATACAGATGTTAAGTTGTCTCAATGGATTTGGTTACATACATCTCAATCAACCATACTAATGGTTTGTCCTCTTTCAAACTTGTTTTGCTTTCTCATTAATTTATTTGAGTGTCATACAAGCCAATGTTTTGTAAATCTAATGACCATTTTCTTATTAGCTAAGGTAAGAATTAGGTTGTTTTGTGCGTATTATTTCCATTCAAGTAATCAGTTTGAGTTTAAAGTATTAAAATGTATGTGTAAAATATACATAAATGGGAAAAATTCTTGGTGGTAAGAAAACTATTATTTTGTTATCATAGAAATAACTTGTCTTCATGTTCTCATTCCCTTAATTAGAGATTCTACATATTATAGACATCAATGTTTCAATCTGTGATGATAATTTTCATAATATCAAACAAAGTATAAAGTCCAAATAACTTTGGACAAGGTAATTTAATTTTTTGATTCAAATTAGTAGTGAGAAGTAGTCACTAACATGGAAATGCAGACTTTGATTATATTGTCCTTTACTTGATAAAAAAAATGATTTTCTCTATATCAAAAATATGAAATTTTTGTATGCAAAATAAATATCTACATCATGTAAATATAGACCACGATAATCTATGGTATTTTTAAAGTGATTTTTTTTTTAACTTTTGTAGAATATAAAATCAGATTAGCCACTTATTATATTTTATTATTTTGTTGCATAAATATCACCTCAAAATACTTGTGTATAACTATGGATATGATATGAAAATAATTGTTTAGAAAAAATAAGTTAAGACTATAATTCACGATATTGGTTCACGTGCAACGCACGTGTGCACCAACTAGTATATATAAATGTTTACAAAACATTATTAAACTTCTCTTTGGATACAATTTTTATTTTGCTATTGCTAACCACTCAAGCAGTTTGGAGTGACAACAAACTTGGATTATAGATAACTAAATTTAATTAAAAGAACATTCTGTTTAAGTTGAGTTACATGATTCCTCTTTTAAATTATTAGGTTAATTTAAGTCTGTTATGTCGTGGCAAAAAAGAAAAGAATGTTTGATTAATTTTGTGACAAGAGCGCAACAACAATAATTATCATCCACGCAACATACTTACACAATAGTCGAAGAAGATAATGACAAGCACAAACGCTCAAATGGAGGCAAGAAATATCTCCTCCAAGAAGTAGAAAGCGAGAGTAAGGTTCTCAAGATAAAAAAGATGCGTCAAGAAGGCATCAAGAAGAGGTCCAAGAGCAAATTGAAAATATTCAAACTTGAATATAAGGAGTTCTTGAATTATCTAAATCAATATGTGATAATTCTCCTTTTGGTTTTGTTGAAGTTATACAAATCATGAGTTTATTGGTGAATTATTGATTCTAATTCTTGGTTATTGACTATCTGCTTAATTATTTTTCGTGAATACTAAATAATGTATATCACCTAACTTATAGCTGACATCTAACTAGTAAGAGAGTTCAAAAACTTGTCTACAAAAGCTGACAAAAGTACGACGAATTTGTATGATTTATTAGAGCTCGTGATTTTTAACATCAACAATAAGTAATATTTGATGCTCGAAATGGTCCTTGTGCAACGCGCATGTGCACCAACTAGTTTTAAAAAAATGTGTATAAATTAGGCAATCATATAATTTGGTCTAGAGATTAAGGTTCAAGTCGTTCTTTGTTCCTGAATTAGGTTAGAAAACAATTTTTTTTAAAATTTGAATAATAAAAAATATGTTTTTCTTCTTTACACCGAGTTAAAATACTTAAAGATAATTTAGACAATTAGAAAAATTTTCTTATAACTTTCTTCTTTTTCAAACAACGGAATGAGATTGTTTTAAAATTTTTTAAAAGTTTTTCATGCTAACCAAATACATGCATAGAAATATATTTTCTTTCACTTTCTTTTCTTTCCCTTCACTTTCTACCTCTTTCACTTTCCATCATCTTTTTCTTGCTAACCAAATAAATCTTATTGGTCAAATTAGGACAGTATTATGGTTGGGAATTCAATTTTTGGGACCCACAATTAGTGAATTTATAGACAATTCAAATTCAACCCAAATTAAACTAAATTAAAAATTATATTTAACTCCGATTTGGTAGATTTAGAATTAAACTTGAATTGAGCGTTATTCTAATATGAATTTCTGAATTTTCTATCGAGTTATTGTAATATGAAAATTAGATTTGAAAGATTTTTTTAAGATTCTTACTTTGTATCATCAAAGATTAATTTTTTTAAATTACACCTTCAATGTATCAAAAGTGTTACAATGTGATCCTTATGTTAGGTTCTATTATTTTTTTTGTCAAAAGACAGTTCATTGACAATAAAAAAAAAATAACGAAAAGCTAACAAAATGTCACATTACAATAATTTTAATACATTGAGTGTGTAATATTAAAAATTTAATATTTAAGGGTACAAATTAAAAATCTTAAATTTTTTAAAATCACCCTATCTTTAAATTATAAATTTTTAAGTTGAATTTGAATTTGAATACAAATTGAACTTGGTACAAAAATTTTAGAATTTGGGCCTCTAAGTGTGAATTAACTTCAATCCGCCAAACTCACCGGTGTAATTGACGAGTGGAAGGAATTTATATATCACAACTAATCATTGTTTATCAACCCACACATAAACTTCAAGCTCATGGCAATATTAACCTCAGCAACTATGACTGTTTAATTTAAATAAAATAAAATAAAATAAAATAAAATAGCTTAACTATGTCTAAGAAGGGTTGATCAGCAAATTAGATTTTCCATTTGTTGTACACAAAATTTACATGGTTGGATAGAAAAAGTGATTCGATTCAAGCAGGTTGATTCACAAATAATTAAAATTTAGTTATCGACACTAACGAGATCTGATTCATTTCCTTTAAAAGATGTTTGAGGCTTATTTCTTACCCACATCTTTATAATAATCGGTTAATAGCCCTAAATCATAATTCAACTAAATATTCTAGTCCCGATAAATTTGATATACGTTCACTACGCTAAACAAGTGTTTTTTAAGGACACCATTGCACAAAAAAGACGAAATTGACCTTAATAAAATCAGACACTGTCTTGGATAGTAAAATAAGACCCTCAAAAGGGTATAAAAATTGTAAATGAACTAAAAATTAAGGAAGAAGAGTGATGCATGTTAACACACAAACACAACATTTATCGATACACAGTCACGGGAGTATTCATTCACACAATTCCACGGTATTTTCTGCCGGATTTGAAGGTGCAATAAGAACAAAAATCCTTGTGAAAATGGAGCTGAGCTGAGCTGAAGTAACATGGATCTAATTCTCTTTGCGCAACATAAAACAATCCCCAGATGATTGGCTGAGTTCACCTCTCTTTCATTTAATAGTAAAAGCATTTGGCTGAGTTCACCTCCTTCGATCATTGGTGCATAACTTCTCACAAATGTGTCTCCTTGCTTCTCTCTTGTGATGATAAATACCTCATCTTTGTGGCTCTATAGATTCTATGAATATGAACTAATGGTGCAAGCAGCAATGTCTCTTTCTCTCTCAGACACACATCGTCGGTCTTGACCTTGCGGAACGAGCGGTATTCTACTTCAACAGGTACTGTTATTTTTTGTTTGTTCCAAGATCTGTGTTCTTTTGTTTATTTTTGATTGATGATTGAATACATAAACAAATTTCGAATTCTTAAGCCACCTCTATGGAATGAGATTGTCAGAAATCTTCTAATTTTCAGTCACAAGTGGTTCTATGGATAAGAATTGTTTATGGCGGTGAGAGAGAGAGAGAGAGAGAGAGAGAGAGAGATACTCCTTGTGGCTCGAAGAAAATGAAGAACAATGAAATGAGTCTGTGGATAAGAGAATTCTACAGTGTCCAATTTTTTTTTTTTCAATATCTTACTGTTGTTTGTAAGTTTAGTGAGTCTTTTTTTCATAAAATTTGGAGATCATTTATAATCTTTGAGGGTCATTTATAGCTTGTAAGGATCACTTATAATTTTTACATGGGATCACTTTTAAAAATTTTGTGATCGATCGCAAATAACCATAAGGAATTGTGAATGAACTTCCCAAAGTTATAACTTGGACAATAAAATTGTAATATAACCCCAAAAATTATAAATTATTTTGTTGCGAATAAATCTAAAAATTTGTATTTCAACCAATAACACTAGTAAACTTTGACGTTACGATACCAATGGTTGCAACATTTTGTCCTCTAATTTGCAGCAAAACTCTACCTGCTGCCTTGCCAAAAAGATTACACGGGGGAATGTATTGTCTCAATGGAAATTCGCTACATATTATCAGAGCTATAGCTATTGCTGTGCATAGGACTCTAAAAATTTAGAATGCAAGTCATGTAGGCTGCAGCTAGGAAGTATGTCTAAAACTAATTAATATATAAATTCTGTAACTGTAATTTAAGAGGAAAATGTCATGAAATCTTTGGGTCTTTATTTTATGTTAAAAATAGCCTCCCAAGGGCTTGCCCTTTCTCTCCTCAGGTATCTCTCAGGGAGACTTTGATAATTGAAAAAAGATTATCTAAAGCACTTTGTTATTTTATTTTCAGATATGTACTTTTGGAATGAGGTGATCTCCTTGCTTCATTGGATGCTTTGATGTTTTCTTTGATGGAATTTAATACGTTCTTTGGAAATCTTGAGTCTGTTCTTTCGTTTTGTTCTTAGGCGTTTGCATTGGGATGAATAATTTTTATTTTCTACATTTTATCTTATAGGGGAGAATTCTTTGAGCCGTGCTTACCATGTATAAAAACTTGAAATACTCATTAAATTTGTTGCACTTTGGCTTCATCTGTAGCAATTGAGGTAGCGAAAGGTTCTCTAATAGTTTCACTTATAGACTAATAAGGCTTTGGTTCAATAGTACTCATTATCTTGTGAAAACTTTTTTTTTCTTGAGGTCAAGTGTTTAAGACCCCTTCTCCCTTCCCCCTTTCCCCTCCCAAAAAAAAAAATGGTTTCACCTATAGGGTGGAATTGCCACAAAGCTTAGTCATTTGGATAATTCAGCGTTAGATTATGATGACATATGAAAAATAAGAGTCCAACGAATAAGTTATATATCCTATAAAAAAACAAAAAAGAAATACAATTTTATAAACCATTTAAGTTGTTACATGGGTTTGTTCTTATATATATGGCCTTTGGAGAATGGAATTGTTGGTTGATTTTGGCGTGCCGAGCATGTGAGTTTGGGATTGAAATAGTTATCAATTGTCAAATTGAGTGAAATATATGGTTTATGAATTCAATTTACTCATATATTTTTGGATTGATATTATTTTACTGATGGTGTTGTTTGATTATTCATATTTGAGCTTACTCCAGATAATTGTGAATGATTAATAAAGAAGTACAAATCTATTATTTGGTACTTTTCTTGGGAGAATTGATTTTTTATTTTATTTTATCAATAAGAATAGATTTTGTCAAGAAATTAAAATTATTTCAATTTTTTGTTAGAAAATGTTATTTGGATCTAAAAATCTGACATAATTTGCTGACATAATAACGTGGTTTCATTGGAACCATTGGATTAATACCAAGTTCCAATATTTGATGGAGCTCACAGTCAATCCAAAGTTCATAGTGAATTAAATCAGCAAATTAGATTAGTAAATTAGGTCCCAATAGCATTACTCTTTTTTGTTGCATCAAGAGTCTGATTTTGTGTAACAAAGGGTGGTACATTATACATAAGGCAAAGACATGGCCAGGAACACGCTTAGAGTGGCGATGTATTTGAGGATGATACATGTTCACGACCACCTCCTACATTACCACCATTTTAAGGACTAAATAGAGATTGACGTTGAATAAAATCTAGGTTTGTTCTTGTTGAAACACAATTCATAGTGATAATAATTTGTGTTTTCACTAAAATGTTATCTTATTGCAATAATGGTGCATTTCTTATTCATATTAAAGCCATCTTTTCTTTTATATAGATGTTGTCTCAATGAATTTGGTTACATACATCTCAATCAACCATAATAATAGTTTTTTCTCTTTCAAGTTTGATTTCCTTTCTCATTAATTTATTTGAGTGTCATACAGGCTAATGATTTATAAATCTAATGACTATTTTCTTACTAGCTAAGATAAGAATTAAGTTGTTTTGTGCGTATCATTGCCATCCAAGAAATCAATTTGAGTTAAGGCATTGAAAGGTATGTGTAAAATATACATAAATGGGCAAAATTATTGTGGTAGGAAAGCTGTTATTTTGTGATCATAGAAATAAGTTGTCTTCATGTTTTCATTTTCTTATTTAGAGACTACAAATTCTAGACATTAATGTATCAATTTGTGATGGTAATTTCCATAATTCCAAATAAAGTATAAAGTACAAATAACTCCGAATAAGGTAATTTAATTGTTCGGTTGTAATTGGCAGTGAGAAGTAGTTACTAACATGGAAATGTAGGCTCCAATTATATTGTCCATTAGTTGATAAAAAAATGATTTTTTGTTTATCAAAAAGATGAACTTTTTGTGTACAAAATAAATTTCTACATCATCTAAATATAGACCACAACAATCTATGGCTTTTCTAAAGTGATTTTTTTACCTTTGTAGAATATGAAATCAGATTAACCACTTATTACATTTTATTATTTTGTTGCATAAATATTGCATCAAAATACTTGTGTACAACTGTGGGTTATAATATGAAAATAATTGTTTAGAAAAAAAATCAAGACTATAATTCACAATATTGATCCACATGCAACACACATGTGCACCAATTAATTACTTATAAATGTCAGTATTTATGAAAAAAATTTGATTTCTTATTTCACCTTTAATTATTACCTTAAAGGTAATTATACCCACAAAATATTAGTTAGATGAACTTTATCTTTATGACTTACAAATTTATTGCTAGATAAACTTCATCACTAGTATTTCAAAATTTTTGCTAGTTACCAAAAATATTAACTTTGGACCTCATGCCTAATATTTTAAAAGTTGTGTCCTTACAATCTAATAAAATATATGCTTGTACTTATTGACATAAAAGATGTCTAAACTATACTATTATCCATTTAGAAGTTAATTGAGTTGATCCCCAAAAATTATTTATTTTGGAATTTTCCCCAAAACTTTATATTTCATATTTTTCCTTATCTTGGTCCCAAATTTGGAATTTTTTGACTCAGGCTCGGATACATGATATTCATTCATTCATTCTAATTACTGGAAAATACATAATTGGAAGCAAATGGATCTATTCCTATACAGCATTTGTGGGATACAAAAGGAGTGAAGAGGAGGGCATTCTCATGAGGAGGGATTAGTCCAAAGCTCTGCATTTTTTACTTTGGAAACACTGTCCAAGACTTCAAAAGGAGTAATGTCTCCAATAACCACCACCATCTTGGTTTCCAGGTCTATTTGGTAGGAAGTCACTCCTGTTTACACAGAGAGAGAGAGAGAGAGAGAGAGAGAGAGAGAGGTTCAGCATTAGATACAGCATTAGTGTTCTGTGAAGTGCATGTGTTTACATGGGATATGAATCGGATTGGTAACCACTGAGATGAAAGAAATTAAATTTACTGCATTTAATTGGTAAAAGTAGCATGATATACCCACATAGTTTGGTGCAGTAATCAAACAATGGGCGAGATGTAAGCGCGTACGTCATAAGTTCAAATCTATCTACCTTCAAAATATCCGGGTTTTACTAATACTCGCAAATTGCGTGCATTCAAGTTTGCATTGCTGTGATGAGTCCATGTGGTTGAAACAAAAGCATCCCAAAAAAAAAAAACTATATAGACTGAGCATAGATGGCAGATTGAACAGGCAAGGCTAATGAATGGCGTACACAGCTAATTCATAGTGATTTGGAGAATAATCACTTAAACTATGTGATATTTATGTTATGTCCCATGTACATTTGTGTCCATGCTGATGTACATGTTCACACACACACACAGACATTCTTACACACACACTGTATTCAGTGTATGTCTTTGCTAGATTGGTACCTTCATCTGGTGGAAAATCCTATAGTACAATGACTGGTCATTAGGGAATGTCCAGTATCTTATTTTCTGAAGTTTTTAATGAAGAGCTCAACAGAAAATCTTTTGAAAAATTAGAAAGGCAATTTTGTCATACCTTCAATCTTTGAGATATGTTTTTCAACTTTTCTTGCACAACCATTGCAATGCATGGATACCCTCAGCACCACCATCTACAGAAAAGATTAAATTAAACCATACTAATCATGATCAGAAACAAACAGGGTTTGCTTTCAAACTCCTTCAAATCAATGTTCTTAACTTCAAAAATATGAGCTAATTCAAACTAAATCAAGACATTCAGCTCATTAGAAACACAAAGTTTGAAACAACAAAGGGTGAATTGAACATAACTGAATTTCAAGTCAAACACTTCAAGGTTATATAATCCAACATGCCTGAGCTCAAGGACTTGAAAACCACAAGATTTGATAAATAATATCCAGGGTAATAAGAGTTTTGAGTGTTAGAGCGTTTTGGTTAGTTAAAGTAATGTTCTTGAGTTTCAACCCATTCACTCAAACTTTAGACTATGTTGAATTTCAGCTTCCTTTTCCTTCAATGATTTGAAGGAAATCAAACAACATGGTAGAATTTTTTGTTGTTGTTGTTGTGTGTGTGTGTGTGTGTATGTATATATATAAAGATATATAGGCTGATATATACACATATCAACCAATTCCTGTAAAAAAACAAAGAGGATTTCCTTTTTCTTCCTGTTGTTTTTTCTGCAAAAAAAAATGAAGAAACATGAGAGTGAGTAAACCCTTACCTTAGGTTTCAATTGGAAAGCCAGAGTCTGGGGTCCAGCAATGGCATCTTTCAGTCTCATTAAACCACCACCTTCAGATGAAACCAGAGGTTTTCTCTCTGACTCATCTTCTCTGTCATAGTTACTTATGCAGAGACAAGAGGTTGAGCCAGAAGGAAGAAAAAGACAATCCAAAACCCTGCCAAAGCTGAGCTTCCCCATGTCTCCCTCCCTCACCTTCTTACCCACAGAAGAAATATTTGAATTCTGAAGATGCAACCAGTTGCTGAAATAATTCAAGGAAACCCAAATGTAGAACTAGCCATGGTACAGAAAAGCTAATTCCTAGTATCGGATCTCTTCTTTTATTCCAATAAGAGCGTGACACGCGTAAAACACTTTAATTGTTGTTTATGCAACCAATAACTCCAAATAACTCGAACAAAAATTCATAACTATGAATCATTTTCAATATGCTATCAAAAAATTAGATTTTCGGTATTGTAGTGCTATTCGTAAAACAATCCGGTGTGAAATGACAAGGTAAAGGTCAATTTTTATGGGAAGAGGCAAAAGTTTAACAGAACCCAATGAAGCTAATGTGGGAGAAAAGAGGGTCAAGTCCCATTTTTCTAGAGAGATCAAGAGGACAGTAATGGAAGAGGCACAATGACAAGAAAGGGTTTTCCCAACTGTAATCTGTCCAACTAGATTTTCATATGATAAGTTCAAAAGTAGTATCAGAACATAAATTCCAATTCATTCAGAGGAGCTTCATGTGAGAATAGATGTTCAGTAGAGTGGGCATCTGCTTCATGTGACTTTATGCAGCTGAAAGAAATCAATTTTCATCCTTTTAGGTCAAGTGACCAAGGTGTAAGAAAGCTAAGAAACAAATATCGGAGACCAACGGTAGAGATCTACTAGCTTCATGACATGTGATAAAGGACTAAGTTTTGATAAGGGCTAGGCTGAAGAACAAGGGATTATACAAATGGATAATTGTTATATTCATATACATTTGGGTGATAATAAAGATCATGATCATGATATTGATATAAGACCTTGGGAAGGCTCTGATGTAAAGAATTGACTAATATGAGTCAGTCGAACAACCCAAGCATCTATTACAAAAAAAAAAAAATGACAGCCGAGTGCACGAAACTCTTGTTACTACAATGTTTTGAAAGAGTCAGATTACCCATCATTATCACTGCAGATGGATAATAGAGATGGTATTTCCATTACTCAAACCCGTGATGCACAGATGATCACAATGGAGCAACCTTACCCCTACGCCAATGCATGTCCTCCCCTATCACCACATAGTGGATTGAGAAATAGTTTCACTTTAAGCCTGTAACTATCACTGCTTTATGTCTATATATAAATGAAGCTCTATATTAAAAAAATCAGATAAACTTGTGGATGGTCGAAGAGTGATCTTTAAACAACTGTTCTTTAAGACTAAGATACATTACTGACAGAAGCCAGAGAACTGACCATTGACAAATAAACAGATTATTATAACAACAGTGAGGATCGATTAATGTTGTGAAGAACCTTGTCATGGTTTGGATATTTTACTAAACAAGAGGACAAGGGGAGTTGAATTATTGAACCCCATGAGCTCAGAGGGTCCTTGCATTATTGAGTGACTGAATTTTTTTTCAAGTTCAGTGACTATATGTTCTGTAGCTTGGGCCATGTGATGATGGTTTTAAGGAAGGAGACGAATTCAGAAAGCTAATAGTGGAGTCTAGTGTTATCCTTGTGTTCCTCACATGGCTATTGCTATCAATAATAAAGATTTGGGTTGGAAGTGTTTCATGGTGGTTGTAGGCAACAGAAAAAGATAGCGTCCCCCAGCAAACACAAGGGTCATGTTGCATGTTCCACTGTGTGAATTAAAAGAAGGCAAAATGAAAATCCCTAATCTGTCGGATGGTAGGATTTTCGTAGTTGACACTTGAAGTTCCCAAGTTCAAATCTCGAAAGAGATGTTACAGCTGACCCAACACGGATTGCTTAAATTGACTGTGCACATCCTGAATTCACAGCGCAATCATGAGCCCAAATGAGGCCTGGTTGGGAGGGTTGGGAGTTGTTGTGCACCACCATAATTAAGCACTTCTCTCTGGCTTGAGCTCATGGGAAAGATAACCTAATAGTCTTTTATATTGTAGGAAGTTGAACGACATATCACTCATTTTCAAGACGCATCAAGACCTATGCATCGATTGCACAAAAAAAAAAAGGAATAATGAATAGTGGCATGGGGGACTTTTATCAACTGTCGTGCACCAGACCGGACTTGGTAAACATACTCCAGAAATTTCGAATGGTTAAAAGTAGTGGGAAAACACAACTATACATAAACTTTATTTTTTGGTATCCTACTGAGAAGTAAAAAAAATATTAAAAGGTAGCAAGTTCTATCCAAAAGTAATAAATTTTATTTAAAAAGTGATCGGTGAACTTAAAAAGTGAGTGCACTTCAAAAGTTAATAAACTTCATCTAAAAAATAACATAGATACCTAAAAACTGGTAAGTGATACGATACTATCGTAGTCAAACCCAAAATTGTGATGGGTAAACTATGATGGAGTGACGGTGAGCAAATGAAACCGAATTATTGAAAAAAATCCTGGCGGGCGTAATTATTGATAAAAATCCAACCCGAGAATTGCTACCTATTCAATGTTCTAAAAACTTAAACCGATAGAGAGAGTGTAACATATTTTTGTCCCTTCGATGTGGTCCCTCTTTGGTGGTCTTTCCACGTGATTCTTTTTTGTGTGTAGTCACCGAGGAGGTTTGGTGATATTTAAACTCAGGACCTTTAGGCTCTAATACTATATTGAATAGAAATTAATCTAAAAATATAATAGAGAGGTGTATAACATATGTATTAATCTATTACTACATCTTCTATTTTCATTTCTGATGATTATGAACTACATGAATAAAAGAAAACTTCGGATAATTTTTTTTTTTTTTCTATTGTTAACCCCTTTAGATAACTATGTCTAATAACTATATACTCCCTGAGAGTGCTTAGGTGCTGCATATGTTGTCACTCACTTTTATTAGCTTATCAGAAGACATATGCATGCACTTTACTGTCATCACACTAGTGTTAAAAAATAGAATTTTTTTTTTTTTTTTATTGTGATTGTTAAGTAGTAATACCAACACACATTTATTAAATGCATACTGGTATAGAACCCAACACTAAATGGTGCCACCATTAGAATTACTTTAGAACCTTAGTTGGAACCTAGAAGATGCGAATAAAGATACGGAGATAGAATAAAGTTAAAAAATATACGGCTATTAAAATAATATAATATATTTTTTTAGATAATAATAGAGTTTATTTCATTAAAAATAAAGTATATATTATAAAAATATTAATAATAAGACCTAATAAATATTAATTTTTTAATTAAATTTGAAATAGATCAAAATAGATATCCACAATTTTTATCTTACATTATTACATTCATTAACATTTATAGTATATAAGTTACACAACAAAAAATATATTAAAAAAAAATAAAAATCACACCCTTTATAACAATTAACATTCATTTAAAAAATAATAATAATTTATAATCATATTCTAGTGGTATCTTAGTCGTGTCTTACCCGTATCCAGAGTATATGCTAGTGGTATCCTAATTAGGTCAAACTGAGTTCTATTCCAGACACTTTTAGTCATGTTTGAGACGTGCCCATATCGAACACATGTCCAACACTTTCGCAACACCCCTTCAAAAGTATCCGTACTTTCTAAGTTGGAAAATATTGTTAGCAATCTTGCTGCCACCGGCCTTCCTTATAGCTCGGTAGTTGTGAAACTCAAATTCCAACCACCAGGTTGTGGGTTCAAGGGCTGGCAGAGAGAGAGAATAGCTATCTTGCTGCCAAGCTTGACATTTGACCTATGGGCCAAGGACTGGCCACGAAAGTCCACAAATCTTTGATGAGGCCCGGCCCACCATGTGATTGTCAAAAAACCTGGCATGTATGGGGCACGCATTGAGTTTTTCCAGCTAAGGGCCAGCAGTTGGCTGGGCCTGGCTGTTCGGCGTGGAAGCAGTTTATCAAGTCCAAAATATTATTTCATCCTCATAATTTAATTTAAACAATTACAAGATTTGAATTCATGACTCCATTAGGTTTATGTCTGTCATTTTAAAAGTGATTATACTATTTTTTTAATATGCGAACATCATAACCGAAGTTTATCTTGTATATGCGTTTATAGTGTAATAATAACAGTATAAAAATTTACTTACATAAAACGTCGTACTGTTACATTTTGTCAAACATATATTTACAGATAACTTCATTGTAACAGTTCAGTTATGTTTTGAATTTGTTACCACATCTACAAAACCACTGAACGTTGTATGTGTTACAGTATTTCACTTATTGTTACATTGTCTTTGTTACACTATGCGTGAAACACAGGCAAACTTACATGTGAATAATCTATCTCCTCTTTACCGGGGATATACCTCCTTCCAAGAGCATTCCCTCTCCATTACCGGGGATATCCCGCTCTCCATCAAAAGATTTTGGCTAACCTGTGGGTCAAACCCCCCACAGTAGCCTTTACCTCTGTCCCACATCGGGGAAAGAGCCAGTATGATTTTTCTTTCAAAGACGAAACCCTGTAAATATTTAAAGAACAATTTAGAGCTTCTCGCTGAGGAAGATGAAACAATTTTTGGATAGGAAGAAGAAGAGGTAACTGTTTTTTTAAGATGAAGCTTTTCGCGAATTAATATTCCTAAAATCCAACAGTTAAATCTTATCACTGTGTACTTAATTAATTTTAAGATATATTCTTAAAACAGTTTTTAAAAAAGTAAATTTTAGAAAATGGACAATTAAGTATTTGTATCTTAATAATGTACTTCTTTACAACACATTTTTTTTTGTGTATTTTTTTTATAATTATGTCTAATTTATTATATCAGCTTCCAAAAAACCCAGAATAAATAAAAAACTAGGCCAATTAGGGGGGTCACAACCAAAGTTTGCCTTCTAAAGTAAATATGGGTGTGCAAGAATCCAAAAATCTGCATCCGCCTCTGTCGAAGTTGGAGTCGGAGTCGGAAATTCTTTTCAAAAAAAATCCGACTTTAACTTTGAATTTTATTAATAAATGATTTTATATAATTTATACATTAAATAGTATATTATTATA